GACAGTACTCAACGATTATGGGGTTTGTTAGGGAAGTAACAGGTTACAAGGCAGTGTCAGCAATGCTGAGGATACAGTTCTTTGATAGGAAAGGCTCCCTTCAGCCCTGCCCAAAGGCAGGTCTCGTTCTGGCCCTCGGCCCCTCAGCCTATGTCCTGCTTGGGCAAGTGTTCCAAAGTTCTTTTAGCTCTATGGGGACGTGCCCAGAGGTACCCCGTTCCACTGGCAGGCCTCCTGCCCGTCTGAAGACGTTCAGCTTTCTCGCTTGGTGGGCCAGGAAGTCCACTGCTCTTTCTCATGCTGCTCTCTGCCCCCGTTTCTCTGCTGCTGCATGTCACCGTCTCTGGTGTCACAGCCTCTGTCCCTGGATTGAGGAGGTTTAGCACAGGGATCTCGGGTCCAAAGGACGTGCTCCATTCCTGGCTTTTCTTTCTTGATGGTGGTGAGCTTTTTCCTTTCCATCTCTGGGAAGGTTCATTTTAAGCCTAATGAGATGGCAAAACCGACCAATCCCCACATTAGGGTTCTATACACCTTATTTCCATGCTCCCACCCCCACAAAGGTGCTGCAGAAAGGGCAAGGAGGCCTCATATTCTGACCTCCTAGAACCCCACAAGAGAAAGACAGAATCACCATCAGTAGCCCAAGGCCTGTTCCTGTGAGGCCAGACATGCTGCCTTCCTCTAGCCCTGTCTCTAACCGTTCCTCCCAAAGCACCCACCACCTCTCCTCTGGGTTCGATAATTCGCTGCAGTGGCCACACAGAACTCACAGATTACGGGGTTTATTAGGGAAGCACCAGGCTACAACTCAAGTTCAGGAAGAATGCTCAGTCTCTCTCCCAGCCCACCGTCTCTCACTCAACAGTCTCTCACAGTCTCTTTCCCAGCAGTGCTGGTCCCTTGGTGTCTCACTCAGCAATGTATGTCTTTTGCGTCTCTTTCCCAGCAGCACGTGTCTCTTTCAGGGGCGTGTGTCTCTTTCGGCAGCACATCTTCCTCAACCAGCAGTCAGAGAGAGTGCCTCTAGGAGGCCTCCTTTTGAGCCCGGCAGGGCGGTCAAACTAGCCAATTATAGCATCAGAACTCTAAGCACCTGAGAGTGGGCACGTCCCAGAACATTGTTTTGTGCCACTCCCAACAGAAATACTCCAGGTGGACACCTTCAGCAATCAGGAGCTCCTCAGTTGCTCATAGAAAATCCCACCTTGGAGTTTACAAAGACTTATGGGTAGAAAAGCCACACTAAGTAATTTACTATACCGCAGGTGCCATGTACCTTATTTACACTATTAACAAGCTATCCTGTCGCCTTGGTGGGCCACAGGCACCTCACATAGTCCCACCAAGGCATTTGGTGGGAATCACAAAGACCGTGGCTTGAAAGACCGTACCAAGCAATTTATCACATGACACACAGTGATTGGCCCAGAGTTAAGGGCTCAGTCAATTTTATAGTCAGTAGAATCACTAGCACTAATTCCCATGCTCTGTCACTCAGGAAGTGATATTTACTGCCACTTTCCTACTGCACTGTTGCTTGTCAGCCACTTGGGCCTTGTCCTCCCTGTCCCAAGCTGACCATGTCCTTGAATAGTCCCTGACCGTTTAGCTGAGTGTCTCCTGGCTTCCTTGCCACACTGCACTGTTATTTAAACTTTTTTGGGGGGTTACTTTTCTGGCCTGTGAGCTGTTGGAGAGTCAGAACCACCTTTAGTGCCCTGTGGATCTTTGGCACCAGACTCTGGGCCTGGCGTGGTGCAGGGCTGCAGGAGGCGTGAATGGCACGCGGGAGCTGCCTTTGCTTTTTGGCTTATTGTGAATAGTGCCTCTGCAACGCCTCCTGTCTTTGATGCACGCACTGCCCTCTGATTCAGTTGGGGTCCAGGGGCTGTGGCTTTTGGATCCCATGCGCTCTTGCCACAGGGTGGGCTTGTTCAGAACCCTCTGTTGGATGGGTCTGCCAAAGCCAGGGCGGGAGAAGGCTGGGAGCGGCAGACAAAGGAGGCAACCAGCTTGGTTGGAGCCTGCTGGGCCCTGGCACTGGGCTTGGCTCTGCTCAGCAGAAAGTAGAAGAGAAAGTGATGATTTTTATCTCCAGCTGGAAGCAGCTCTCTCTTCTTCTTTTCATCTCTCCCCTCTGAGCCTGGGGCGAGTGTGTGGTCACCAGGAAACTTCTTCACTGTGTGGACTTGGGCTGTGTACCCTGAGTCCCAGTGCCCTCGCCTGTAAAATGGGGAATAGAATCCCCATTTTACAGGGTGGTGTTAGGAGTCGCTGAGGCGGAGCTCATGAAGTGTTGGTTCTTTGCCCGCTAGGACTGAGGCCGCCAGGGTAGAGAGCAGTTGGGGCAGGGTCCTTGCACGTGGGGCTCCTTCTGGGGGGCTCCTTCTCCATCAGTGCCTTTTGGATCTTCTTCGGAGGGGAAGGAGCTGAGGTTATTCCTTCTTTCTTTCTTTTTTTTAAATTGTGATCTGGGTAAAAGTTTACAGAGCAAATTCATTTTCAATACAACAGTTCATACACGTTTTATTTCATGACACTGATTGCAATCCTCGTAATGTAGCAGCTCTCTTCCCACTGCCTCTCTGTGGTTCCCTTTCCCTGTGTCCTTCTTTCCTACGCGTCCCCGCCCTCTGAGCTATCTCCCTGTGCAAATGCTGCCCTTCTGATCGCCCATGGTTGATTGTTCTAAGGAGTGTACCTACCGTGGAAATGTTCACCTTATACATCTAGCTGTCACTGCTTAGAAGTTGTACCCCACAACTTTCCTTTTTCGACAGTTAACTTTGACGCTTGGTGCATTAATCCATGGAAAGTGTTTTCCTCCCGTTCTGGCCCCTAGAAATGTCTATGCTTTGGAGTAAATTATAGAAAGAGAGCCTTTCTGTTGATCCTATTCTTTTAAAAAGTATTAAGTGTCTCCTCTCCTAGGCATCTTGCTGGGGAGAGATTGCAGATGCCTTTTTTTCTGTGGTCATTGGAACCTGGCAGACCTGAATTGCATCCTGGCTCTGCCTGCCACTGACCAGCTTCATGGGCGACAGATTATTTGGCCTTTCATTTTTTTGATCCATAAAAATGAGGATTATTGTGGATAGTAATTATCCTGCTTTGTTGTTGTTGTGCCAACCAGAGTTCTCTTGGTTGCAATGATAGATGACCCAAATAAAAAGAGTTTAAACCGTAACGGGAGCTTATCTCTCAGGCAGTAAGTCTGGAGGTAGAAAGGGTCTGGTGTTGGTTGATTTAGTAACTTAAGAGTCCAAATGTGTTCTTTCTTTCCTCTTGGCCATCCATCCTTAGCAGGTGGGTGTTTTCCTCTCCCCCTTTGTCACACAACAAGGAGCTCTGGTAGCATAGTGGCTGAACCATTCAGCTGCTAACCAAAAGGTTGGTTGTTAGAACCTATTAGCTTCTCCACAGGAGAAAGATGAGGCAGTCTGCTTCAATAAAGATTTACAGCCGTGGAACCCCTGTGGGTCGGTTCTGCTCTGTCCTGAAGTGTTGCTGTGAGTCGGCATTGACTCAGTGGCAGTGTTGTCACGTGGTGGCAGCAGCTCCGGGCATCGCGGGCAGATCCGCTGACGCCCAGCAAAACAGAATGGTATTTCCTCAGGTGCATGCCTTTCCCAGAAGCCTCCCTGCAGATTTCTCTTGGGCCCCCTTGACTGGTATCATCATGTGGGTGCTTTAAGTTTTCTGGGTCTTGTTGTAAGGATTAAAGTGCTGATGCTGTATTTGGGAAGTCAGGCCCAGGGAGGTGGGAGTGAGGGTCAAAAAGAGGGAGTGAGGCCAGGAAAGAAGCGAAGCAACGTGATGCAGTGTGGCTCATACAGGTACTTGTGAAAGCCTTGAGGATGCACAGGGCGGTGCATTCCCATGGCACATCGGACCTTCTTTGGAAGGATTGCAAAGAGAAACTGTACCCAGATTTGTTAAGGAACAGCTGTACTTCGCTCACTGTATTGCTTTCTCCCATGGAGGGGGCCGAGAGCAGGAAGGTGTATGCTGATAACATGTTCTGAACTTAATTTAAATCTTCCTTACATCCTGGTACATTTCTCTCTGCTTGCTTTAATTGGGGACAACATAGCTAGTGGTTAAGAACATCAACTCTGGAGTCAGACTGCCTGGGTTCCAGTGTGGGCTCCGTGCTCACCAGCAGACTGACCTGAGCCTGTCTTTTAGACTGCTTGCAGGATTAAGCGAGGCAATATTTGAAAGCACTTAGAGCAGTGCCTGTCAGAGGCAGTGTGCTGCATGGATTTGGTTAAATGCATTGAGAATCCAGAGTCAAGGCTGTGATTTCCATCCCATGGGAACTTACTTTTCCTCCAAGATGGTGACCCTCATATTTTTGTCTCTAGAACTTGGAGCTCTTTGACATGGTCTCATGTCATGATCACCGTTTTTTGAGTCCAGGACTGTGAAGGACACAAATTGAACCAGGCAGCCATTCCTTGCCTTGATTCCTGTGGTGAATGGTACCTTCCCCAAGGATAGCATCCACCTGCCCCCGTGATTTGGTTCACCTCCCTCCCTCCCTCCCTCCCTCCCTGAGCTCCCCAGGGACATGGAGCTGGCTGGCTGCTTTAGCTCCAGCTTTATTTTAGCATGATGCCTGGCACATACAGGTGCTTGTGAAAGTAAGTTCTCACCTTGCCTTAGTTACATGGCTTATTTTCTTTATGACCCCGCCTAGGGCAACATCCAGTTCTTTAATGTTTTTAGGTGGTATTTGGGTGGAAAGATGACGAGACCCTCCAGCTGAGCATACAACACAGATTGCACACACACAGAGGCAAGACCGTTGGAAGGGGGAGGATGGGCCATCGTAGAGTCATCAGCTTACCTCCTTTACTGTTTTCCAGCTACTGGCAGAAATGGGTGGCCTGGAAGCAGAGCCCTCTTTTCTTCCCCTGTGTCGATCGACTGAGGGGCAGGGGCTGGAGGCCAGAGATGAGCCTGAGATGATAGGACTTGAGAGTGGAGCACGCATGGAAAAGAAGAGTCCGCTGGGCCCAGTGCTGGGTCCTGTGGGGGCCGAGAGGGAGCACTCAGCTAGCTGCCTTTGCGACTTGGGGCCTGGGCCAGTGAGAGAACCGGGGGGCGGGGGATGGACAAGCTCTTCCTTCTGTCTTCGCAACACATAAGCTGAAGCTGAATATTGCCCTGTTTCCTTCCCTTGAGAAGCACAACCAGTTACTGTAGGGTTGATTTGACTTGTGGCGACCCCATGTGTGTCAGAGTAGAGCTGCCTGCTGCATAGGGTTTTCAGTGGCAGTGACCTTTTGGAAGCAGGATGCCAGCACTTCTGGGTGCATTTGAACCACTAACCTTTTGGTTAGTAGTTGAGCACTTAACCGTTAGTGCCACCCAGGACCCCCTTGATAAGTGCAGATGGTAGGATATGTAGAAGGAGTATTGGGCCAGGTAGTCAGGCCTTTGGCTTGGACTCTCAGTGGGACCTAGGGGCCAAGTCTTTTTCCCTCCTGGGCCTTTGGGATTGCCTTCTCTAAAAACAAGAGGTTCATTCTTTCCTTCTGGGTGTATTTATTGAATGCCTCCTGTGTGCGCCAAGGAGCTCCGGTGGCATAGTGCCTAAGGCAATTGAATGCTAACCAGAAGGTTGGCAGTTCAAACCCACCAGCTGCTCTGTGGAAGGAAGGTGGGCAGTCTACTTATGTAAAGATTTATTGCCTTAGAAACCTAGTGGGAGTCGCTGTGAGTTAGAATCGACTCGATGGCATTGAATTTGGTTTATGAGTTACTTTGCGCACCATTCTAGGCCCAGGGACACAGGCAAGGTCTTAGTCCTCATGGAGTGTACATTTTAGTTGGGGAGACTGAGTTTAATTTAGGTAACTGCTCTGGGATGTGGTGGAGAGTGAGGGTGCTCGTTTCTGTCAGTTGATTAGGGAGGGACCCACTGAAAAGGTGGTATGTTAGACCATGCCACAGGGAGGTCTGGGGCAGAGCGTTTGAGAGGAAACCATGAATACCTACAGTCTCTTAGAGGAACCAACTTCAAGAGTGTAAAGAGTGTGAGGGGACGGTGAGACCTGAGGGGCTGGGTGGGCTGTGGTAAGCATTTGATGCAAGGTTGGGCCCCTTTTAGTTGTTGCCCTCTTCACAGAGACCCTTCTTTGAAAACTCCTGTTAAACAGAAACCCAAAACCAAAACCCAAACTCACTAGCATGGAGTTGACTCTGACTCATAGCCGCACCCCCATTGGGTTTCTGAGGCCATAAATCTTTATGGAAGTAGATTGCTCCAACTTCCTTTTGTGGAGTGGCTGGTGGGTTTGAACCACTCACCTTCTGCTTAGAAGACAAATGCCTTATATATTACGCCACCAGAGCTCCTTGTTAAACATAAAGGAGTGCTTAATAAGCAGTAAGATGCACAGCTTTGAACTGTAGGCTTTTCATGTGTGGGGAAATAATTTGTGGGCCACAATGAGTATCTGATCCACCTCGGATTGAGATGCTGCCAACTAAACAATCTTCAGATCCTTTTTATCCCAAACATTCATTCTTCCCAAAGCCATTTGCCATAGGATTCAAATATAGAAATAAATCCCTACCACCTATGGATAGAAGGAAGAAGTTTTTATACAGTGCAAATCCCAAGTCCAGTGGATTTCCCTGCAGCACACCTGGCTCACACCCTGCCATCACCATGTGGAAAAGGCTCTGGGGAGGGGTGTGACAGTCCCAGTCTCCTTTCCTCTGGCCCCTGGGGTCTTGACTCTGCTTTGTGTCCTTTTGTCTCAACCGAGTGTTGCCCCAGCTCCAGAAGGAGCTACTCCAGGGGCTGATGTGTCTGTGAGGAAGGGCACTGGGTAGCAGGATGGTTGGCTTCCATACAATGGATCCCTGTAGTCTACGTCCCGACATTGCAGTGCTGGCAGGTGGGCCTTTGCCTAATGTACTCTTAACACCCCGCCCCCATTATTAAATCCTCAACTGCTTCATTCCTGATTTGCATTTTCCGTGGCTGAATGAATCTGCTGACTTCCGTTTTCTTTTTTTCTGTTACAGATCGTGTGCGCAGGTGACTGTGAGTACCATTTGTTTCCTCTCCCTTCTTACGTTGTTCTCTACTGCCCCCTGATGGACACAGAGCAGAGAAGCTTCACAGCAAGGCAAAAATCGCAGAAAATGTTCATTTGTGAAAACCCGCTTAGTTTCCAGTTTTTCTTTAGAAGTGGGGTGAGGGTGAGGACTTTCAAATAAAAGGAAACATAAATCAATGAATTGTGCTATATTTATATATTTATATTTTCTGTGATCTCCCCAATCTAAATCTATTTTTTTTTATTTTGCTGAAATTGCAATGCAGTATGATTTGTATTTGTTTTATGTGCTGTTATCCCATAAGTATTTAATTGCACTGCTACATTGTCCTGTGCTTTTTCAAATGGTTTGCGAGGCTTAATAACCTTTGGCAAACCAGATGTAGCCTCCTGTATACTTTGCTTTCATGAGGAGGGCTGGGCCCCAGTTACTGATTTGTGCTGGTCTATCCAAGTTCTCCTTGGTTTATGGTAAGATGAGAAAAGTAAGGATATGATAGTAAGTTTTTCATGAAGCTAAATATATTCAGTTGAAAGCACTGTCCATTCTGGGATCATGTCCTAGTTCCTAAGCCATTTGACTGCTAACCAGAAGGCTGGCGGTTCAAACTCACCAGGCACTCAGAGAGAAGGTTGGGCAATCTACTTCCATAGTGATACCACCTTGGAAACCCAAGGAGGGGTCACTATGAGTCAGATCTGACTCTGTGGCAATGAGTTCTTTTTTTTTAATAAGACAAAGATGATAACAGTTGGTCTTTTTTTTTTTTTTCTAAAGTGTTATGATTTGGAGGAAAAATAAAGATTGATAGCTTTTGTCAGTCCCTAAAATTGGGGGACCTTTGTCTGATTGGTGAAATCCCAGAGTCTGTGAACCATGGTGATAATTCATTAGATTGTACTCACAGTGCCATGCAAAGGGGGCAGGTCTTGCTAAAACCTCCTAATGAAGCAAATCTCAGTTAATAACAGTAATCATGCAAAGCTTGTGCATAAAAGCCAGCTCACAAAAAGAACAAAGTGTAACTGTATGGTTGTAGTTGGCCAGATTTCTCCGGTGACTGGTGATGGCTGACTTTTCCTGGGACTCACATAAATTTCCAGTTGTGGTTAAAAGGTGTAGAGGAAGGAGGAATAATTGCCAAGAGTGGTAACATGCTCTGATGACAAGTTCGTTCTCTCTGTCTCTCTCAATCTGGCTTAGTCATTCTAGTAATTTTGAGCTCCTCTTGCTCCTTTACAGATTCTGAAAGTCAAGGTTTTGGCATCCAAGTTGTGAGCATCAATGCCACAAGTATGAACTTGACCTGGGAAATCAGGGACACTGTGCCACCCTCTGTCTACACCTACAAAATACAAGTTGTAGGGGAGAACCAGTTCTTCAATCTCACGGCCAATGAGACTCATGTTGTCATCCCTGGACTCACATCCAGCACCTTATACAACATCACTGTGCGTCCTTTGCAAGATGATGGTGCTGAGGGCACGCCCGGCTTTCTCCAAGTGTATACTCGTGAGTTCACTTGTTCTACCTCACCTTCCTTGCCTATCTGCTACAGCAGGGCCCAGTTACAAAGATGCATAAGCTGTTGCCTGACCAAAGGAATGTATGGCTTTGTGTGTAAGTCCACCATATGGCTTGGTGTATAAGGCTCTTAATCCGGGATGTGGAATATCACACTTGTGATCATTAACTGGCATGAACCATGTGCTAGGCTATAAATGACAAGATTTATTGGCACTACCTCATTTAATGCGCCCACCTTCCTGTGCCTTGGTTGGCACTAGGCTTACTTTATGCGTGAGAAAGCCAAGGTTGAGAGAGGTGCTGAGGCCCACAGCTGGTAGGTGAGGGAGGTGGGAGTCTGTCTGGGCTCCAGCCTGAGCTTGTAACCGCCATTCTAGAGTGGTGTAGACGTGGAGCAAGTGGCTGGATGGAGAGAAAAAGAACCTGGGTATCCATGTCCCTTTGTGTCCCAGATACTGACATTGTTAATGTCATCACTAACACAGCTGTGCCTTACCACCCTTTGTTTGCTTAAATGTCCCTTAAAAATGTGATGACAGGCAGCACATGAAAAGCTTTCTGTTCCAAGGAAGGCCCGATAGTTTAAAACCAAATGATAATGGTCTACCGATGGTACAGTGGCCTCACCTCTCCCAGGGAAGAGGTGAGAAGAGTGATGTGATGGACTCAGGGTGCTGGAGAGGAGCCATGCGTTTGGCACTGGGCCAGGAGCTTGGCACGTGCTGCAGTGGCCTGCCCAGGAAGAAGCGGGATCTTCGTTTTTTATAGATGAGGAAAGGACAGCCCAGCACGGCTGAAGCATTTGCCCAAGGCCCTGGAACCAGCGAGTGGCCGAGCAGGGACCTGAGCCCAGCGGAGCCCGACTCAGCAGGCAGGGCTTCTTCCACAAGGATGTCTTCCTCAGGTGTCTGTTTCTTGCCGGGAGGTGCTTCCTTACAGACGTTTCTGATTGGCTCTTTGGAAAAATGGACTCTGCTTTCATTTCTTTCCCGTTTATTCTTTTGCTGCTTAATCTGCTAGTTACGAGTAGATTCAGCTGTGAGTATCAGAAACGCTCATGTATCAGTGGGTTAAATAAGATGGGAGTTTACTTCTCTATGTAAAAGCATCCTAGTGAGCTCTGAAAAAGATCACAGTATGAAATCCTGGATAGAGTGGGAAAAAAATGTGAAACAAAACTCAAAATTATAAAAAACACCAGACTTACTGGCCTGATAGATACTGGTGGAACCCGTGAGACTATGGCCCTTAGACACCCTTCAATAGGAACTGAAGGTGCAACTTTCAGCCAAATGATAGACAGGCTTATAAGGTGAAAAATAATAGAACAGAGGCACACACATTGAAACAGTTAACCATAGGAGATCAAAAGGCGGCATTTGCCCAGGGGTAAAGCTAAGAAGGCAGGAAGGGTAGCAAAGAAGGTTGAAGGGAAATGCTAAACATAGGGAAGAAGTGAGAAGAGTGTTGTTCCTTTGTAGAGATTGCAATCAATGTCACAAAACAAAATGTGTATGAATTGTTGAATGGAAAACCAATTTGCTCTGTAAACTTTCACCCAGGCCTCAATTAAAAAAACAGTCAATCAGTCAACCAATCAAACAGCCCAGTGCTAGGCAGGCTGAGGATGGTGGTGTTAGCCAGGGCCCAGAGCAGGAGACAGAAGCCATGGGCTATTTTAAGCTAAAAGGGATTGGATCCCGGGAAGTGAGAGTTTATTGAATCTTTGGAGAGGCTGGGGGCGGGCTCTGGGTTCACCCCTGTAAATGACTCCTAGATCAGCTCCACTGAAGTGGCCCACCTGGTTGCCGCAGTCAGCGGGGTGGGATTAGGAAGCCTCTGCTGTAGTTTTTGGCCCCAGGAGAACACGATCCTGATCTTGGTTGGGGAAGATGCAGCCACAGTGTTGGTCCTCGAGTCAGGCCAGGCCTGTGAGCTTGGCACCAGCAGCAGGTGCAGGCTCACGCCCCAGCTCTCTGCACCAGGGGAGGGAATGAGTGAAAGTGCAATGATGCAGCAGAAGGACCCTTTGCCGCCTCGGGACTGTGCGGACAGCAGAAGCCATGTCTCTGCCTCATGTTCACCTTTCACAGCTTGAGGAAGGCCTCCCGTTGCCTGAATCTAAATAACATCCAGAATCCTGGCTGCAAGTTGTTGTTTGTTGTTTTGTGCCATCGAGTCAGACCTGACTCATAGCGACCCCTCCTTTGGTTTCCAAGGCAGTATCACTACAGAAGTAGATTTCTAGCTTCTGTGATAGAAAAAGGCATAGGAGAAGCAGGGTCAGATTATAACGTTATACCATGGACAGCATCCTAAAGGCTTCCAGGACCCAGATGTCACCTCACCATCCTCAATGTGTTGTTTGTACCTTATCGCCTAAAGTGGCAGCCTGAACTCTAGTCATCACACCCACATTTCAGCTACAGAAAGGGGAAGAGCAGAAGGAAGTGTTCCCACCTTGGAAGTCAACAGTAATTCTGCTGTGTTCTGTTGTCTGAACTTAATTATGTGGCTATGTCTAGGTGGCAGGGAGTCTGGGAAATACAATCTTTACAACTAACACTCCCCCTCCAGCTAAAAATCTGGGCATCTATGACTAAGGAAGCTTGCCCTTGAGCAGAGAGTAGCCAAAGCAAATGAAAGAAATGACAAGTTAAAAGAGTTGAACAGAGGATTTCAAAGAGCAGCTCCAGCAGACAAAGCCAATTACTATAATGAAATGTGCAAAGACTTGGAGATAGAAAACCAAAAGGGAGGAACATGCTCGGCATTTCTCAAGCTGGAAGAACTGAGGAAAAAACTTAAGCCTCAAGTTGCGATATTGAAAGATTCTATGGGCAAAATATTGAATGATGCAGGAAACATCAAAAGAAGATGGAAGGAATACATAGAATCACTGTACCAAAAAGAACTGGTTAATATTCCTCCATTTCAGGAGGTGGCATATGTTTAAGAACCAATTGTATTGAAGGAAGAAGTTGAAGCTGCACTGAAAGAATTGGTGAAGAACAAGGCTCTAGGAATTGATGGAGTACCCATTGAGATGTTTCAACAAATGAACGCCCCTCTGGAGACACTCACTTGGTTGTGCCAAGAGATTTGGAAGGCAACTACCTGGCCAACTGACTGAAAGAGATCCGTATTTGTACTCATTCCAAAGAAAGGTGATCCCAAGGAATGAGGAAATTATCGAACAATATCATTAATATCGCATGCAAGTAAAATCTTACTGAAGATAATTCAAAAACAGTTACAGCAGTATATTGACAGAGAACTTCCAGAAATGTAAGCTGGATTCAGAAGAGGACGTGGAACGAGGGGTATCATTGCTGATGTCAGATGGATCTTGGCTCAAAGCAAAGATTACCAGAAAGATGTTTACTTGTGTTTTATTGACTATGCAAAAACATTTGATTGTGTGGATCATAACAAATTGTGGACAACATTGAGAAGAATGGGCATTCCAGAACACTTAATTGTACTCATAGGAACCTGTACATAGACAAGGAGGCTGTCATTTGAACAGAGCAGAGGGACACTGCATGGTTTAAAATCCAGAAGGGAATGTGTCAGGGTTGTATCCTTTCCCCATATTTATTCAATCTATATGCTGAGCAAATAATCTGAGAAGCTGTACTATATGAAGAAGAACATGCCATCAAGATTGGAGGAAGAATCATTAACAACCTGTGATATGCTGACTACACAACTTTGCTTGCTGAAAGTGAGGATGACTTGAAGCACTTACTGAT